TTACTTAGTAGAATGTTGAGAAATAATCAAATGTTTTTTTGTAGTTTTGGTATAAGTGATCTACGGAAAGAGTTGCTAATTTTTATCCCCCTAAAAGATCATTTGTAACTATTTATTAATATTATTTTATATAAAGTAATTGTAAATAATAATAAATATGTAATTGCAGATAATAATAAATATATAATTATTGCTATTTTAAACTAAAAGATTTGCTAAGTATTCTCTTTTTTGTATACCTGCTATTCTGTCTCTTCCTATATTTATAATAAATGCTTTCTTATTTTCATCATCAATAACAATTTCATTATCATTATTATTACTATTAATAATTAATTTGTTATTATTAAAAATTTTACTATTTTCATAACTGACACTATTAAATAATAAATCATTTCTATCAATACACAAATTGTGTAAAATACAACAAGTATGAATTATTCGAACAATTCGTTCCAAATCTGTACAATAAATTTTATTCAACAAAATTCTCCACCTTCCTTTTAAATATCCAAATGCTCTTTCAATAATCATTCTTATTGAAAAAAGTTTTTTGTTGAATCGTCGTTCATGACTAGTTAATGCATTATGATCAGGAAACGGTTTTATTAAATATGTTTTAAGAGGATATGCAGAATTAGTAATAATATATGAACCACCTGGTACCCATTGTTCATGATTGTAAGAAATTTCATAATAAAGAGATAACCAATAAAACATACATGCATCATGAACACTTCCTTTAAAAATAATTTAATAATAATTTAAGTATTTAATATATAAATAATTTAGTAACAATTAAAAATATTTAAAAGATAAAAAATAATAATGTAATAATTATATTAACCTGCCTTCCTGACATATATATATGTAAATCATCCATGACTATCTACAACTTCAAGAAAATTAATTGAATGAAAATTTTTATGATTTACAAAACAAGCACTGTTTTTAATAAGAGGATGAATAAGTATATGCAATCCATCCATTGCACTGATGACATTAGGTAAGTTATGCTCTAAACCACTTATTCCATATTCAAATTCTTGAATAACTATTGTAAGTTGTGCACCTTGTAGCCACTTTATTCTTTTCTGCTCCAAATCCAACAATGCTTCCAAGAATCAATCTGTGAAATGAATAACTAATCCTTGACTAACTTCTAGAGTTTGTTCTAAAACCCAAATACCTACTTCATTTGCAAAATGGCATAAAACAATAGCAATTTGCTTCCATATGGGCATTGCATTAAATGCTTCAGACCTAAAGGCAGAATGTGTTTCTAATCAAGAAACAATAACTTTAAATGTTGATAGGGTAATACGAAAATGCCAGTGAAAAGAATTATAACTCTCATCATCAGTTAAATATGAAAAAACATTAATCCAGAATCTACAAGTTTTAGGTCTTCATTGTTGTTGAGTTACTGTATCCAATGAAGAAATTAACAATAGAATAGTTAAATTTGTTGTCATTTGAGTGAAAGCTAAAAGATGATAATTATTTGTCATTATTTCTTGGAATTTCTGATTTTGCTTATTTTTCATAAAAACTTTTAGTGCAAGGAATAAAATAAAAATTTGTTGATGTCAAAATGATTATTCATGGCAAAGTTGCTTAAGTGATTTCTTTGAATACTCTATTGATCATAAAATTTTCAAATGCAGGTATTAAAAAAAGATGGTTGGTTGTAAAATCTTTGTTAATTAAAATTAAAACTTTATTTAAAGTCTTTTACTAATAAAAAATGGGTTATTACATAATAAATTTTATCAATTTGCACATATTCATCATAATGATAAACATGTGTGATTAATTTTAAATATTTTCCGCTAAATAAAATTTATCTCCTGACACTTTTTAATCATTGATTGAGGCACTTGAGAGCGACCTTAAACTCTAATATCTATTGAAGACCTTAACTCTTTAGTCCTATATAGTAAAGACCAAACTAGTGAACATTATAACTATTTTTGATAAAATAACCTACTAAGGATAGAATTATTACCTTCTCTTTCTGCTTAGCAAGAAAATTTAATAGAAAGAAGAATCTTCTAAGAATTCTTTTACATTTCTACTTAATAAACATCTTTTTATATATCTTAACTTCTAGCCTTAACAATATTAAAACTAGTTACTAAATTCATTAAAATTTTAATTAAGATAATTAATTTTCTTTCACCTTGATCTGGTATTAAATCAATCTTAGAAGAATCTCAATCTACAACTACTAAAAATCTTACTATAACTGAAGAAGAAACTTTCTTTACTTTTGACTTACTAGAAATAACTAACTATTCTGATGTCTTACTTGAATGGTCTAACTATTTTATTATTGAAATATAATCCAATTACTAACAACCTATTATTCTTAAAAACTTTAACCAATACTCAGAAGATTATTTTCAAGAGACACAGTTTCAAACTTTGAAAATCTTAACCTACTATCAGAACAAAATTATCTTAAAAAAATATAACTCTTTGAAAAACAATCCCAATAAGAGAAAGAAAGCTCAAATGATACTATTACTAACAAACTTGACTCTGCAAATGGATCAGTCGTCTAACGGATATAACAGATATGAGCGATCGTTCAGAAGGGTATTATGAGAAATATCAGTAGGATACGATTCATCAGTCGTATCAGCGATATCAGTCGTATCAATTGCACGATGTAAATAAGTTTTTGTAATTATAAATAAAGGCCTGAAGGCCTTCTGGAAAAAAATAACTCTCGCCTTTGCAAATAAACTAGTAAATAATACATTCGTTCAATAACGACCCAAACCTTCTTCAGAACTCGACTAATACCATATTAACCACTCGCTAAATCTAACATACCTCATTCGACCCGAGATTAACCCTAAGTGGTTAGACGACGTGAAACGACCGATTCGACGACCTTTTCCGTTTACACCGTCATTAATATGCACATCACATTTCCTGTTATTGAGTATCAATTTAACGCTTGAATTAATTACTGTTATATGATTAATTGTCGTTCCTAACTAGAATGGTTAATTATGTGAATATTTTTCCTTGGCGGAGCTCTTTCCAGATGTCCTAACAATAATTTAGTACACTCTGATTTAATTGGCGAACTTTAATTATTTTGTACAAATTAAATCAACACTGCCTGCTATTTGAATTTGACATATCGAACCTTTAGTTCCACTAACAACGTATACGTGCGTACATAGATCCAAATATGAAATGCGTGTACGCCAGATATATTTTAGAATGCATGCATTATTAAATTATTTATAGCATATAAATATGGGTCCTTGGACCGGCACATAATATTTTTATCAAGATATATTAAAAAAAATCATCCACCAAAATGATGATGCATAAAATTTTGTACGTACGTAGTTTCTGATATAAAAAAAATATATAAGTAAATAAAATAAATAAGTAAATAAATAAGGATTAAAATACATTTCAATGGCGCAATATGATTATATGTATAAACACTAAAATAAACTTGGCTAACTAATGGTATGTGCAGTACATATGTAATCACTACACATATACACTTTAATAGCATATAAAGTTAAATAATAAAAACAAGACTATATTCATAAATAAACCGAAAATTTTAGCTAATGCTAATTATAAAATAATTGGCTGAATTGAATTTACTTTTTATTTGAACAAGAATTTTAATAAAACGAGTATTTATAACGATAGCGATAATTATATGTTAATTATTTATGAATAGAAATAAATATTAAAGTGTGACAACATTAGAGAAAAAACTCGTTTAATCCAAATTCGTGCATGTGGACTGATTTAACATTAATAATTAAAGTATTTTCCAACTACGTATATATTATTATTTCTGCCGAGATTCACCATATGTATTGTCTAAAAAAAAAGTATGGCTTACTGTTACATAAATATTAACGTTAAGGAAAGAATAAAAAACGAACATCCAAATTATAGTATTTTAATATCGTCACATTTTACACATTTTACACATTTTACACATTTTACCAATTTATTATTTAAAAAACGGGTTTCTGTTATTGAAATTTAAATCGTTGCTATATTTTAAAATGTTTTCAAAATTCTTTACATTTTTACTAGCTTTTATTATTTTTCTAAACATTACTACACTATCATATCCAATTCCGGTAAATCGCAAGTTTTCAAATTGTACGTATGTAAAATATATTTTGAATGTGCACAACGAATATATGCTAATCCGATTGCGAATGTTACCAATGCTTAATTTCTAAATTTATTAGTGAAAGATGAAGACAACAGAAATTTGAGGATTTTAGTAGCCAGACAGTATAGTCCTACCTTCATTCGAACTCAAATTTCATTTCAAACAATAATAGTGAATTCACCGTTGCCTACTGCTGTTGCAAAACCAACTACTACTACACCTTTGGTCATATTTGCTACAACTACACCTTTAGTCACATCTACTACTTCAACCATATTTACTACTTCAACCGAATCTTTAGCTGGACCACCTACTTTAGTTGGATCTACATCTTCAATCGGTCCTGATAATACAATAAGTCCTATTACTCCAACCTTTATACTGCCTGCTACCGAAACTTCAACAGAGGCTGCCCCAACTCCTATACAAGTATGTGACTGTGGAGATGAAGATGAATGTGATTGTCAAACAGATGATCCGTGAATCTTTAAAGAATAAAAATAAACGATATGAATTTAAAAATTCTATGTTTTGCTTGTGTAATGAGGTAACAAAAATAAATTAGAATATATCAACTTATTAACAACTGTATTATAAATCAGAAACTCTATTTCATAAACACGAAATTTATGTAATTTCTGAAAATAATTCAAATCGGGGGTGTCAGCATTATACAAACAGCAAAGTCAAAAGAAATATAACTTGTAGCATAATAGAAACTACATTTGCTAAGGATTTGTACAATTAGCAAAAACTTTAAACAAATAATAATATTATTAATATTAATATTACAAATTTTAACAATTAAATAAATCGAAAGTGTATAGAATTAAATATTAAATAAATATGTTGGGTTCGTCAAAAAAATTCGATTTAAAAACTCTACCAAATAGTCCAAGTGTATTATTACAATTATTTGAATTACCCGTAGAAAACTTACTGGTGCTCAATAACAGAATAACGTCAAGATTTATACAGGAATCGTTTTATGGGGTATTGTAATCAATAGCAGTGATGGTAAATGACTCAAATAACAAATAACTTGACATGGGTCATTTCAAAACTGAATAACTTGGGTCATTTAACATATCGATGTATTAACTAATAATCTAATATTTTTTATCCAAACAAATTAAGGATCATAATTTTTGACATGTCACCTTTACCTAATTTGTTTATACAGCGTGATTTGCTTTACTGTATACTGCTTATGTTTATATTGTATATATTTCTCGTATTTGGTATCGAACTTGTGTATTAGACCGACAGCCAGAAAATTTTCTTAATCTATAAAAGAAAAAAATTTTCATGTCAAATGAGTGGCCAATAGAAATCAAGAAATTATTTATATTAAATTCTTTGAAATTTTAAATATGAATAGCTTGGCAACAACCTATCCAATTTTAATAATACTGTATTTATTTAATTTTTCAAATTTGTAAAATTAAAATTATTATTATATCATTAAAATTAAATAGGTTATTGGCATGTTATTTATATTTAAAGTTTAAAAAAAATTTTATATAAACAATTTGTTTGGTCACCTCATATTATGATTCTAGATACAATTCTGACAATATTTTAATTCAATTTAAAACAGGGATAGCATGTCATAATATTGGATATAATAAATTGTTTATATGATTTAAATTGTGGTCTAATTAAACTTAATTCAGTCAAATATTCAAACTAAAGCATGATTGTATAATTTCACTAATCTACTTTATACTTATAAACGTATATCGATACTTTATTTAAACTGTTAAAATTTAAATTTTCAACATAAAATTTTTAAATTTTACTAGTGTATAGGAACATAGGAGATAAAACCTGTAAGGATTGCAAACAGATCTCGTATGTTTTTCAATTTTGTTTTAATAAATTAACTGAATAATAATAAAAATTTTGTTCATCTTGTTGCATATCAGAAACCAACTAATTTATCCGAAGCTAATAAAAAAAACCTGTATTAAATCGGGTAAGCAAAAGCAAAGAAAAGAAGTATAATAAGAAAAATCAAAAACATGATAGTGAAATGCAAGAAATGCTGACTTGATAATTATAAGAATAAAAGAGTTTTACTACACGTATTATTCAAAACATTGGGAAATTTCCAATAGATAATAAGCAGCGGATATACTTTTGCTTTTATGTATCTTTAATAAATAGATTTTTTATGAAAGCATCTCAGTAATCCTCACATGAATATTTTTTTGAAAAGCGTACTTTTTTGCTTTAAGATTCCTCTTATTATAGAAGCTGAACAAATTGAGATGAAGATAATTTGGGTTGTTATTCGCTTTCCCGAAGTCTTAATACCGACAATACATTTTACTAACAGGATAGATCTGTCATTTCACCGAATATCAATTAACCAACAAAATAATTCTGGTCATTTTCGTTAGGGTTAGGTTTAGAATTAGAGTTAACGTTAAGATTGGTGCAATTTTTGTCAGTGAATTCGGTGAAATGACAGACCTATCCTGTTAGTAAAATAGATTTTCGGTATTGCGACTTCGGTGAAATGATATTTCAGAAAAATGCTTAAATTTTTAATATGGTTCGAATCACGATTTAAATGATATTCCAATAATAATTGTTAAGTTACTGGGTTTTAAAATATTTTCAATAAATGTAAATATTCAAAAAGCATAATTTACAGGTTTTCTCTTATCATAACTCATATAAGATAAATTAGAAATTGTAAAATTTTTTTAAAAAAAACTTCATGAGGTATAAAATAATTTTAAATTATTGATTGTATTTACATAAGTTATTGACGTACACATATTCAGGTATGTAACCTTTTTGTAATCTTCCTGAAAAGTTTTATCTTCCACTACGAAAAGTTCTATCTTCCACTACAAAAATGATGATTAACATTAAAAAATATTGAATTAAATTTCATACTAATTCAAAAATTTGATAAAGAAATTGAAGCATGCAGAAGTCTTTCATAAGGAATGGATGAAATAAGATTATTTTATTGTTAATAAATTTTTTTCTTTGATAAAAAAAAAAATTCAGAGTTTTCTTCGAGTATACTTTTTACTTTTGGTTAATTATATATTTGGCATTAACCGTTAGAATTCTGTAATCAAAATTTTGAATGTCAATTACATAGCTAATCTTGATGGTTATACTAAGGATATTATGATCTCTATGGTTATATTAGATTCAATTCCCCACATACTATAAGCATATGGTTGTCCGATTAGAGTGGGCCTTGAAATTCGAAATATCATGAATATTTCCATAATACATATAACGATTTTATATTCGTTCATACCTTTTTTGAAAACGGCTATAAAAAAAAGGCAAATACCTTATAGATAAGAATAACTATTGAAGATATTTGCATATAATAAGCGGTTCTATCTTTAGAATGATTTCATTACTATATTACGTTAATGCCGATATGATTTCTCAGAAAATGGTCAATAATCAGAATTTACAATGGAACAGCCACTTAGATAGCACAAAAGTGATATTTTCGTGCTTTAAGTTGTAACTTCAAGCACGACAATATTACATAAATCAAAACTATATGTGGCATATAATAAAATTTATTGAATTTTTTTTTTAGATAGTGGTCGATAGGAATAATTTTATCGTTATAAAATAATTATTGCAAAATTTAAATAGATGCACAGCCCTAACGGTTCGGTTGTTTGAATAAATTTTCACAAAGAAAGTATCATATTTCTGCAAACAAATCTATAGAATTATTTTTTTAAAAAAAAACCCCCAAATTTTTTCTTGCCTCCTTTTTTTTTTTTTTAAAAAAAAAAACAAAAAGCAATATATTATATATATTAATTTTTTTTCGCGTTTAAATAAAGGAAATGACTCTATAGCTTTACTTATAGAGATATAATACTGACCTTTGCAAAATTTTATTAAAATTATCGAACCGTTATACCTAAGCCAATCGTATTACCACGTAATTATCTGATTGGCAAGTAGAACGGACGCTTATTTTTTAATTATATAAGCAAGAGTAATAACCATATTAATCTTGAATGCACAATTCACTAAATAATAAAGAATTGCAGAAGTACATATTCTCTTTGCTCTACTTCCGTAAACTCGTTCTTAGTACAGTATACCCATGTGCAGTAATTTATCTAAGCCCTATCGCTACTTGCATAAACAGTTCAGATGTGGCACGTTAGAACTATCCGATTTGTGGGTATAATAGATGTTTGTGTTAATGATAATGTCACGTACGTAGAAGGATATTGATCTAAGCCCTATACATGTGTGACTGTGTTAGACATCAGGAAATTTTAAATAGGATAGATATCGATTACCGGCTACAAGGTGATTGGCATCGATTAGAAAAATCGATATTGGTTACTAGAGCTTACAGATTTCTTATTCGTAATATTCGAATAATTTAGATTAGCAAATATTTATTCGAATATTCGCCAAATGACTAATATTGTTTGAGTAAGTACTATTTATTTGAATAATATATAGTTATTAGACATGAAGTAGCTAATAATATGTAGTTAATATGTAGTTACTATGTATAAAGCATTCAATAACTGAAGTTTCATGTGACGAATAATTTGTTTATTCAAATAGATTTATTATTCGAATTATTTGTCTGATAATTATTTATTCAAATATTCACCGAATACAAATATTATTCGAATAACGAATACGAAGCTCTATTGGGTACTAATCGATGCAAAATCGATTATTTTTAATCGATTTTAATTTATTTTGATGATGCTATCGATTTTTAATCAAATGATACTAATCGATGTTAATCGATTCTAATCTAATCGACAGGGTGCTGCTTGTCGATTGACATTTCTGTCTTTCAAGCCAATTTGATGAAAGTATTTGATTGGCTATGTTTTAATAATATAGAAGATAGAATATAGAGTATAGTTAAATAGATAGAAGGTAAAAGATAGATAGATGTTTAAACTAGACTGACGCCTCATGCACAGTGAGTTTGCTTATCGTTATAAGAAATCGAAGTTTAGATGCATAAAATGTTATAAAGCAAATACATATTTTGTGGAGCAAACTACTCCCTTAGCATAACCACTGCTTCCTTTTGAGGGAAGTGGCTAAAGCCAGATACATCACGGATTACTAAATATATTAATTAATATTAATTAACATCAAGGTTAGGATCAGGATAAACTACGATTAAGGCAAGTATTATAGATAAAAACGCCTCCCCGACATTTCCCTTAATACGATAAGATAGGTTTAGACATCCGTTTCCTCTATTTTTCGCGTTTTCGCTTTATTTGCTTCATCGGGCTGATTCGCGTAAACAAAAATTCCCGATTTTTGATTGGTCATAGACGATGGGAAATGTCGTGATGTGTCTGGTAATCTTGATGTAAAAGATCCGGGTATTATAATGTATGATTAAATACGAAGCTTCATATAATTTACCTATTAACAATAACGATAGCAGTTCAATTCTGGTACCCCCTTATGGTACGTTAAAAAAATTCGGGTTACTTGGTCTGGGACTCGCATTAGATATTGTTAGCAGACACTAGGAGTGTTAATCGGTCCCGCAGTAATTGTCAGCAAGATTTGTAAAAAATTGATATTTTTAACTAGTATTCATTCAATAAGTAATATTATAATGTTATTTCTTTATAACAGTCTCTAATAAAAGTTTATCGGCTTTTGCATTAGTTTCTGAGTAATTTAGATGGGACCGAACAGTGTGGAGAAAATTTTATTGATCGGTCCCTAGTCGGTCTCATCTAGATTACTCAGAAACTAATGCAAAAACTGATAAACTTTTATTAGAGACTGTTATGGAGAAATAACTTTTCTATAATATTACTTATTGAATTAATACTAGTTAAAAATATCAATTTTTTTTACAAATCTTGCTGACAATTACTGCGGGACCGATTGACATCTCTAGCAGAATGAATTCAAAATACAATATCGACAATGTATGCATAATATAACTCTATAATATGCGAATAAATAGAATGCATTAATTTTAAGTAGCATAGTTTTTATTCATAGAGTCAAAGTAATTACCGATGAGTCAAAATATTAGTATTACTATTCTTTATTGAAAAGTTGTACTTGTTTCGTGTCATTCTTCATGTGTCATTCGTATATCGAGAACAATAAATTATCGTTTATGTAAAGTTATAAAATTTTATTTAACCGTATAAAAACTTTATGAACCCAATATAGATTTACATAATTATTTATATAAATCTATATACAATCGAACCTCTTTACAGTCACGCCCTCGGTTCAAAGAAATTGTGCCTATATATAAGTTGGTTTTAAAAATTGGTATGCTTATAAGGAGGGTGTGACTTTATGGAAAGGTTTTCGAGTATGCTAAACATTTTTACTTAGTACATCGAGCGGTGATTACCAGTGATTTCATTGAAATTGATTTTTGAAAAAAGTCTTTCATTTTCATTAGAACAAATTAAGTTTTTTTATATAAATAAACGAATAAAATTTATATATTTATATTCTTTATAATTTTATCTACATATTAAAAAAAATTATTAAAAATTTTGAGATAATTGTTAATTTTCACCAAAAGAAGTTTATTGGAATACTGTATCTCAAAAACATACTAGTTAATACATGTTAAAAATTCTAAGTAAAAATATTTAGAACGTTCAAAAACCTTATACTAACTAAAATTGGAACACTGATATCTAACTAGAAAGTTTCTTTCTAATAATTTCTTAAATAAAAATAAACAAAAATAATTTTATTTTTAAAATTTAATTTCTCTAAAATAATTTTATCTACAATGTATAATAATTACTTTAGTTATTTTAAGAAAAATTAAAATAAATTAAAAAGTAATTTGCAATTAAAGGATATAATTATTACCAAGTATTATAGTTAGAACTTATTATATTTTTTTATAATAGTAGAATACTAATTCATTACAATAATAAATATTTTTTACTAAGTAAACATCTTTTGAATCTTTAATTAAGTTGTAAAATATGTTACATATTATGATTTTAATAATAATAAAATCATTAAAATCAGTTGTGTAAATTATAAAATATTGATTATTGTCAAAAATGTTCAGTATTCTATTACTATATGAAAGTTATAGTAAAGTGCTTACCATATTTTATACTCTTTAATTATATGCTGCTTTTTAAAAATTATTAATAAATAAATATAAATAAATCTTGGATATTCTTTAATATAAGTGAGTAACAAAACAATAATCTATAAAACCTAACTAATTTGAGCCAATTCATATTCTAACTCTAATAAGTTATAAAATTAGTTCAAGATTGTTAATTTATATGTATTATAATTATATAATAATCGTATTTGCCCACTATACTAAAGATAATTATATAAGTTTATATTAGGTTTGTAAGTCTATATAAAAACATTTAATTATTCATATTACTGTATCATAATAACAATGGGGTAAAATGAAAAGTTCCGTGGCCAATCAAACCTCAAGATTAGGTGTAACGTAACAATTCAAAACAAACGTTCGTTTTGTCAGGAATAACTTACGATTTTACGGTATATATAATAATAAAATTATGTGGTCTGCAATAAGAAATATATAATGTAATAACATGTACGTATGTACGCACGTGCCTTGGGTAATTGTGAACAAAAGAACAAATCTAAATTACTCAAGATAACCTATTTTAACCTTTTAAGTAAAAATATTCAGAACTATAAAAAATCTATAATTATATCTTTTTTAAACTGATTTATTAAATTTTTTAAAAAAGTCTTGAACATAGTAGACGTGACAACACTGACCAGCTTTACTTATTTATACCTGTAATACAAACTTCTAAAAAGGAAGTGTTAGTGACTTCTATCCCGAAATTATTTTTGAAAAAAATGTATTTTCAGCAAACATTTCGGCATTGCTAAATTTTTTATATGAAACCCACCGAAATAACTATACTATATGATGTATTTTGATAAAAAGAGTTCGAAAAAAATAATTTTGGCACTATATAAGACTATTCTCGGCTGCTGAAATACCGTAATTACTTTTTTTAATTCCACTGTTTTTTATTAGTTGTTGTAAGTATAATAAGGTTATCCAAATTGTTATTTATATAATCTTAGATAATCCTACAAAGTTACACTTTTTTGAGGGGGAAATTTAGCCTACTCATAGAGGAATTTTTGAAGACTAATCGGCAAGGTACTGTTTGTTTAGTTGGTCACTGAAATTACAAACCCTTAAGTGACGCAGATTTAATGCGACTAGATGATTCGCACCATAATTTACGGTGAATTATAGCAAGTTACGATATATAAAATCGAGTTATGGCATATATACACCAGCTATAGCATGCTGTAATTTAAAGCAAAATGTTATAACTAGTTATAATTCAATTATGGTACGATCCATCACAATGCTTTGAGTTTTACCTGCATCACTAGTACATACATACTTATGTACGTACATCGACGATTTGACCAAAAGCATGCAATTTTATACACGTCGACTGCTACTTTTCATATATCGATATCTAACTTAACATTTGTGAAAAAAGGGTTAGATTATGGTTCGGTTATATTCGGAGTTGTGTAATTCGCCCACACATTACTTATAGTAAACAATGGCTTGTTCAAGAAATTCCGATACTATTCAATACTTCATTGGTGCTTTATAAGGGAAGCATTTTACAAATAAGAAGCCATTGAAGTATCATCAATGAATTTAATGAACAGATTATCTGAGGTCGGTAAAGCTTATTTTAGGAAAGCACCTGTAGTATTTTACATCAGTCACCTGATTTTATCCAAAATCACAATTTGTGTCAGCGCATCTCCAATTTAGGATGTTTATCGGCCGCAAGATTAGGGTTTAGACGAATTTGTAAAATTGTGAAAAGGTGATTCAAATTTAGATTAACGCTAGGATTGATTATGCCGCAACGATTCGATAAAATCGTGTCAACAGATGCATATAAAATGCACTCATCATATTGAATGATCAGTCTCAATATATATGTTTTTTATGAATAAACGATGGCGTGTTGCTCTAATTTTACAAAAAATTGTGCAAAGAAGGTTTGTAAAATTAATTTATATTTATGAATACTAATCCGATTTGATAAATAATAATCTTATTCGCAAAAAAAAAAAAAAGTTGAATAGGATAACCGCATCAAAATGGACGATATTCTTTGCCATTGTCCGAATTTTGATATTTGTCATAATCTCAATTTTTCAATTAGCTATATTGATTCGCAATTTTGTATACTTTGGAAATATTACAATGCAATCAGAGGATTTTGATAACTCTCAATGTATTAAAGATATAGGAAGTGATCAATCGCTAACAATAGTGCATGTCTTATATATTTGTGTCGAAAATTTGCTTTGCGTGCTATTTCAATTTTTTCAAATATATTTTGGTTTCAATGCGGTAAGTTTTTAACTTATTGACCTTTAAAAACTCGTATGTTTCTTTAAACAAAAAAAAAAAAAACCTACATATATGTGTATGTTTGTTGCCTTTCGTTTATAGTTATTCCACGAACAATCATTTCAACTTATAGCTATTGCAGTATTTGATCTAGGGTGGTCCTTGTATGGGATTGTAAGTTTATAATTACATTTATCACTTGATTTTATTTCCTCTATTGTAATATGTTTTATATTTAGGGCCAAGCTCTTACTATTAAATATTTTCGAGACCGAATTGAAGCAATTACTTCATGTCAAGGATTCCCTCAATATGATCTCACTTTTCGTTATCTTGATATTCCATACTCCGCAGTTTATTTTGCTATTACTTTGCTATCAATTTTTATTTCTTTCAAATTGTATCAACAATTTGGTTGGAATCTTTACAAAAAGATTGGTGCTGACGTGATAATTAAAGGTAATAATTTCAATCTTTTCAACTTATTCTTTTTAATATGGTATTCAATAATTTCTCCTCTTTCTTTAAGATTTGTACATGAAACGTCTTATATTCGTAACATTGCTGAAATATGAATTATATTTTTTTTTCCTGTTCTTAATATTAAATGGTCTAAGGCTGATTGATAACTCTTTTAATGTTTTTTGGGATTTTCATACTGTTGAAAGTTTTTTGGTTTTTTTTACAGCATTACTGGGCTATCAATCAGTAATTTTTTAAATCTTTTTTTCAATGTCATTTTGTCCTATCTAATTTGTTACGCTAATATAAAGTTATCTGAATTTTTAGATTAGACATGAATGGAAAATTGGAATGTATATATTTTTTGTTTTATGGGCTACTTACCTTATTGATGTCATTCTGGTTGCTTATGCGAGCATCTTGTTTCATTGGTATTTCTTAACCTTTTGGGGTATGTTCTCATTATTTGTCCTTTCATGTTTAACTACCTTTGCAAATAATTACCTGACTTATTTGTTTGTTTTCGTATTTGTGATAGCTCTCTTATTTATCATATTGGCTTCGGTGAGTAAATAATCATTTATCATTGTTCAATTAGACCTTTCTTACTATCTTACTTCTATCAGGCGACGATTGTATATGGTGTTTTAATGGTAAAAGCTTTTGGGAAGGGGTTGAAGAAATTTTGTAGGTTTTCTTTTCTTCTTTATTTAAAAATAACACTCATGTTTGATAATGTGATTAGCCAATTTACATTTCTAATTTATTATATAGTTGTTAAATCGTCGTCAAAATCAACTTCACTCGACGAAGAAGAAACGAATATTAGTTCACCTAAAAAATGGGCAATTGATGATGAATAAACGTGCTTAATATCAGTAATTGCTATTTAATCGTTTACATAGATAAAATATATTTATTCTGGCTTTTATATTGTAGTAATTTTGTAATATTATATGTAAAAATTCAAGCTAAAATAATCTTTATACTGAACTTGACTGTTTGAACTAGAAAAAAAATAATAAAGATCAAAAATCAGTCCATATGTTCCTTTTAAGCAATCTTTTAATTATACTTAAAGTAGTATAATCGATGTTATCGTTATTGTTAAGTCAAAGGTTTTAAGGCTGAGCTTTTATGAACTGCTTCGGCTAACACTTTCCTGCTTCAGGATCGAGTTGGCCGGAATCAAGATTCAAGTAAATTAATATGGTATTTCATAAATACATCGATTAATATCTTCTCCTCTTCAGTGCCAAGTCAATTATCCTCTTATGAAATACTTCTGCTAATACTTTTTCTGTTTTAGAATATTTGTTATATTAAAATTCAAGTGATTAAAGTTATATTTTTATAAAGTCGTTTGCGAATGCTTTCCTTCCTTCAAAATTAATTTGATTGTCATTAATATTTAATAAGTCTATAATAATATTTTTACAAAGAGCATGATTAATTTTTTCTCTTCCTTCAGTGCAAATTGACTATCCTCAATTTTTAAGAAAGTTAATGCGATATTTTATAAAGAATCTTTGCGAATGCTTTGCACTTTCAATTCAAAATTATGTTTAAAAATGTGTTAATATAGTATTATAGAAAAGTCTCTGTTAATATATTACACTTTCAGTGATTAGTTGATCATTCGTAAGATAGAAGTGGATTAATGTGGTATTATTGCAAAGGAACTCTGCAATGCTTTTCCCGCATTAAAATTAAATAAATTTTTTTTCAAAATTTGTCATAGTATTTTTATGAAGAGTCTTAACTAATACTCTAAACTCTTCTAAACTAAGTAGACTAAATGATAATGGCTTATTTGAACTTCTCACTTTTTCATGAAAACGTTTTAGAGAATATTCAGTTGCTTGAGCTACATCTAACAATGAAAGATTAAAAGACATTTCTCAATTTCACAAATTGAATTGTAAATAGCTCGAATAATTATTTGGAAGGTTTATTCCAAATGATATTAACAGGTTCTTCATCTTGGGTTTGATGCCGAAGCACGTCCATAAAAGTCTCATTTTTGGAAATTGTTATAATGTTACATATCGATTAAAATTTTGTTTGGGTTTGTATTAAAATTCTATTTTCAAACTTCAGCATTGGCTTATTTGAAACAAATTTTATTTAGTCATGTCGCCGATTGACTTAAGAATCAAATTCTCTTAGTTTAACTAGTTCTGGTGATGATTTTCAAGGGAAAACCAGATTTTGATACAGTATAAAGTTTCTTTTTATTGATGTCTTGGTCTTACATTAGTGACAGGATAGGGTTTTACTTTGAAGATGTATTAAAAAAAACTTTTTTTTTTAATCGAAATTTTGTGATTTAATACATTAAGAAAAATGTTAATATCTAATTTTACATATAATTAGATATTTCAATATAATTTTTTAATTAAATAAAAGTGTAAACATTCTTAGACTTGGAAGTTGGACATGCTAAAAAAAATCTTACGGTAATGTGACAATGATTTGCGTCACCCAAATGGTATGAACTTTTTTGACAAATCAGATTTCAAGATCATGAGTTAAAGAAATCAGATCTAGTACGAAATTACCAACTAGAGTGAATTAGTATGTCCATTTCAAAGAGAAATGTTGATGTTGAAGCAGCTCTTGAGCCCTATTATCAGAATGATTCCTCTAAACCTCATGAAATATCAAGAAGGGACATAAATAAAATCAGTTGTGAACTTTCATCAGACAGTGAAGAGGTAAAGTATGAAAAATATCGAAAGTATGTAGCTCAAGAGAAGATAAGAGAAAGAGTGCAGAAACTAGAAAGAGAAAGGCAGGAACGAGAAAGAGAAAAGAAAGAATCGAATAGGATTAGCGAGAAAAAAAATTAAGGTGACATGAACAAACTTACGAAAATTATTAAGAGCAATTAAACGTAGTAATAATCCATAAGAACATTCATTTGATAGTTTAGATTACCGAGGTCTGCGAAATGGTCGCACGCGGAAACCGCACAAAGAGAGCGACGTCAAGAACTGAGAAAAGAAATTAGAAAAATTTTGATAGTCGGATGCATAGGTCAAGGCAAATCTACTTTGTGCAATGTGCTAGTCAATAAAGATAATGAATTTAAAGAAATATTTTAGGAAAACTCAAGCTGAAATGTTTGAATATAAAGGAATCAGACATCAATAATTAACACAATAGAGAAGTCATTCTTTCAATAGCTGAGAGTTATAAAAAAATCGAGAATAGATTAAACCAAATTTTTGTTGTAGCTCAAAAACTTACAAATAAAGAAGTAGAAGTGTATAAAATATTAAAAGAAGTCTTTTTTGATGAGAGAATTACCGACTATATTACTATTGTAAGAACCAATTTTAAAGGATTTGATAAGAGTAGTTGCGATTAAGATATCCAAAAAATAATCAAGGAGAGTAACAGGAAGATTATTGGAATTGTTAAATCGTGTGATAAAAGGATCATTCATGTAAATAATCCATTCATAAACACTGGTGATGGGAACAAATTTGTTGAATTGTATAAAAAAAGCGTGAGGCATCAAGAAAATTTTTATTAAAGCATTAGAAAGTCGCAGAAAAGTATATAAATCAAATGACTTGGACGAAATAAATAAAGGAATAGACATGTTTGCATTAAATGGCATTGAGAATTTGCGAGAAGAATAAAGGAGTACAAAAGAGGAATCAAAAAAAGCAGAGAGAGATAACGATTTGGAAGCAATTCAATCGATGAAAGATGAAATAGCTGATATAGAGAATCAAATAGAATTTAGAGAAACAACTTCTTGAAAAGACAGTTATTATTATTATTGGCGAAAAGATAGTTAAATTACGGAAAAGACTTTTAAAGTGTAGAATTTTGTAATGTTATTTATGCAAAATACACAAAACACTAAATCCCATTCTCCAGTCTTTCACCCGTTTAATAAACAAATATCAGAAAAATAGTTTTTGTATTCGATAAAATTTTTATAGACTAGTCGAGCCGATAATTTTAATTGTCTTAGTCTGGCTTGGTCGACTATTATAATATGCAGTATAGCAAATAAGCACACAAAGCTCATAGGCAGAAGTTTGTCTGATTGGCTAATAAATTCAATTTAATTACATAATTTATACAGTTTAGAGTACTTTTTTTTTTTAAAAAAAAAAACCCGAAAACTAATCATAATCAATCCAAATAAACTGTATAGAAGGTTTCATTAGAGCTGTAGGACTCTATAGCCAAAATTAAGATCTAATTCTCGTCCGTTTAATAAAATTAGCTTAGTAAAAATCTATTTTATCGGGGTTTGAAAAGTTATTACTATACTACTTTGTTAAACGGATGAGAATTGGATTTTATTTTTGGCCATGGAGTCCTACAGCTCTAATGAAACCTTCGATACTGTTTCATTATGATTAGTTTTCGTTTTTTTAAAATCACTCTAAACTGTATAAATAATGTAAAATTAAAATTTGAATTTATTAGTCAATCAGACAACTTCTGCCTATGAACACAAAGCTATCTGTCTATTCGATAGTATATAACACCTCGATTCTTAAATTAGCATTTATTAGCTATCTACAATTTTACGTGCACTCTTAGCTTGATTTTGCCTGTTTGGTTGGTGTTATCTTTTTTTTACTATTCCTCGTATTTTGTAGTTTAGGGCAAAGTCTTATGGGCAGAAATTCATCTGATTGGCTAATAAATTCAATTTAATTTTACATTTATTTATACAGTTTAGAATGCTTTTTTAAAAAATGAAAACAAACCATAAGAAAGTAAAAAAAACCCATATAGAAGGGTTCATTAGAGCTGTAGGACTCTATAATCTAAAACAAGATCCAATCCTCGTCCGATTAAAAAAATTAGCTTAGTAATAAGTTGATTTAATTAGGTTTTGAGAAGTTATTATTATACTAACTTCTTTAGACGGACGAGAATTTGATCTTATTTTGCCTATGGAGTTCTACAGCTCTAATAAAACCTCCAATATGTTTTTTTTTACTTTATTATGGTTGGTTTTCAGTTTTTTTAAAAAGTACTCTAAACTGTATAAATAATGTAAAATTAAATTGAATTTATTAGCCAATTAGACAAACTTTTGCCTATGAGGTAAACTTCACGTGACAACTATATTGAGCACTAACTACCTCAGGACAGGAATGGTGAATAATATATTGCTTGATTTGGTAAAAAATATCAATTTATATTGTCAATGGCAAACCTGCACTTTCAGGTCTTCAAGAAATGCCTAAAATAGATGAAAAGTGAAGTGCTGAATCAACACTGTATGAGATTGTTGTTGCAATCACTAAGCCTCCAGAACAATTATTATTGATAGCCTCAAAATAATAAGGTAATCTGCATTGATCTGATTGACAGAAATAAATGTTAAAATAAGGTAATAGGTTAATATTATTCTGTCAAAAAAAGCTTGTAGTTGTGCTCAAGTTCAATTATGCATTCATCTAATTTTTTATAGCTAAAGAATGATGTTGAAAACATTTTGAATATCAAACATTGTTAGAAAACTAAAGGTTGTAAAAATAATAAAGTTAGTTAAAAGAGAAAAAAGAGTTTGAAATAATGAGATAATGTGTTAGTATTATGGTTAAATTTTCAAAAACATTCTTCTTGTTTCTCTGCAATAATTCTTATAAAAAAATAAATTTTTATTTGAACAAAAAAATGTGCAAATTCTAACCTATAAAAACAAAATAATATTTAATAAAAACATTAAAAGTTATTTTACAAAAATAAAAAAGATTCAAAATAAAAAGTAAAATATTTTTAAGAACCTTTTATTTATTCTTTATGTAACACTTCTTAATTTTTGTTTTAATTAGTGCCAAATATTCTGTTTTTAAAACATTAAGAAATTTTATACAATGTTGTTTTTTTTTAAGTAACAATTCATCATTTTTTAGGTTTTGTTATAAATTAAGATAATTCTAATATATCTTTAACAATATTAATATTTCTGGTTTAACCAACCAAAATAAAGTATTATATATAATATAATCAGAATTTAAAATAATAATATTTTTTATAAATTAAAATTATTATTATACTTATTAAACTTATAATAAAATTTCATTTATAAAATTCTATTAATATAGAACTTAAAATCATTGATTACAATACATCATTGTATAATTTTTTACTAAGATTTTGTCTGTTATTACTTAAAATTTTATTATATATAAAAAAGTTTCATTTTATATTGCAAGAAAAGATAAACAATCAAATATAATTTAATATAATTTTATTTAATAAAGGTAACTAATAAAAGACCTTAGTTTAAAATTTATTTAAAGTTTAAAACTCAATTGTAGCAAAATTAAAGTTATAGTAAATTATTTATTTTTAAATTAGATTAGTTAAAGAATCTAACAATTTATAAATACAAAAATATGATAAAATATTATAATTAATAATAGAAAGCATAATAAAATAATAATTAAAATTTATGTTTCTTGAAATAAGTATTATGCAAAATGAATCTTAATATAATTAACAAACTTATTATAAACAGCCTAATAAGCAAATTAAAATATATAAAAAAAAAATTTAGTTATATATTAAATTTAAAAAGTATATTAAATATTAGTTTTTGTTTTTTTTTTTAAATCTTAACAGTGAGGCCATGCCTTTAACTTTATTGAAATTCAATTGAAGTTTTTACAAAGAAAAGCTTGCTTTTAAATTACATATAAAGAATAAAGACTCAGACATTTTATCTACAATCTAAACCTACAAGAGTGGCCAAGGCTCACCTAGATTTGAGTTTGAGTAATAATATATGAGAGAGGAGTATGATATTTAATCGATTGAATAGTTCAAAGATCAATTTTAGTAATAATTTGTAATATTGAAATGGAAGTTAAAAGTAGACTAGAAGAGTGACTATGAGTTGAGTTAGTAGAAAGTATAGTGTAGAACTATACAGAATATAAGATACAGTATGGAATCCATATTTGTTTATATATTTATTAATTTAAGTAAAAAAGAAGTTTGATAAAAAAAGTAGTAGCAGTATGATGAAAAATAAAAGCATTGTGAATAGTAGAAATAAGATCAATAGGAACTAAACCAGATAGGGTAGAAATAAGAAAAGGTATATATAAAAAGTTATGCAGTTTGAAACTGTTAAGGGTGAAAATTTCAGTATATAAATCAGAGACAAGATTGACAGACATATCAAGATTAGTAGTATTTAAAATACTATTAAGAGAATTAGAGATTAAGTGATAGATAGTTTGGGTTGATAGGCAGGTAACCCAATGAAGTGGAGAGCTGGTTTGATTGCATTGATGACAGGAGAAGAAAAATAAGGTTTTATGTTTATGGAGAGTATGAGAAACAGAAAGTTCATCTGTAAGGATTTTAACTCGAAAACTTTTTAAAGTAGATAAGTAAAAGCTGTGAAAAAAATTAGAAATTTTTTGATTATTGTTAATGTAAAGCCATGTAGCTTTCCAGTTGATGTTAGATGCAATAGTAGACCATTGTTAGAAACAATGTTAAGATGTCCAAAGTGTTATGATATAAGCTTGGCATATAGTTCGAATAGAGCATTGAATAGGAATTTCAATAGGAAATTCATCAATATAAGGAGTATAGTTAAGATTATAGAGATTATTAATTAAGAATGTTAGATAGGGTAATATTTGGTAATTACGAGCAAGTTGGTCAGCAAGATTATTAAATAGATTATATTGGTATGCAGTAACTTTGTGAAAAATAAGTTGAATTTTATAAGACTTAATAAAGTTGATAAGTGTTTGTCAGATGGAAAAATATGAAGTATAAGTATGAAAAAAATTAGATGTTGATTTGCAGATATTATGATATTTGAAAATTACTAATTGTGAGTTAGTAAATATATGAACAGAACAGTGTCTAGGAGCAGTAATAATTGCTAAAAAAATAGCAAGAATTTTAGTTTTAAAAGAGCATGGCCACAGTTTAACTTGTGCCTGAAATGAGTTAATAGTTGTAGAGTTATCAACTTGAACCCAACTTATGCCCATAGAGCATTGCGAAGTACCAAGATCAATAACAGAACCATCAGTATAAAATGAAATAAATGATAGATTGTAGTTTGAGTTAGCAATAGTTTAAAGGTTATTAACAAGTTGACATTTTTCAAAAATAGGAGATAGTTGTTATAAATTAATTGTAAGTAAAGGAGGAGGTAAAATATATAAGGAATGTTGAAGAGCAACAGAATATGCAATATCAAAAAAGTTTGCATGAAGGTTGAAAGTTTTGTCAGAATTGATACAGCAAAGTAGCTTAGTAGCCAAGTTAGTAGGAATAAAGATAGTACATTTGTTAGTGATTGTATTTGAATTGAGATGGCATTCAGTATATAATATAGTAGTAGAGAGAGAAATAGGATAAAGATTAGAGAACTAAGACTAAAATGAGCAGTGCCAGTGGTTGATGAGAGTAAGGCCAGTAGGTGTATTATGCCTTCTGGCCTTGCCAATAATTATTTAATTATCAAGAACAGTAAGTAGCCAAAGTTTAGTATTAGAGATAAAATAGCTAATAGAGTGGCAGAAGTAGTTTATAGAAGGTAAATTGTAGTGATTATATAGGGTGCATTCATAAGAGTAACTTGTAGTGATGTTCTTAAGAGTAGTAAACCATTGTGGTATAACACCTTTTGGAATTTTGTTAAGTCTGAGTGAAATGTGTTGCTAGTACAATAGACATGAGTTGTTATAAGTAATAAGTTGGTTCAGAAAAAGAAGTTTATAGTATTTGAGTTGTTTTTTGAAAATGGAATATT